GGGGGCGGGGGGGGGGCGGGAGCCAATCCCGGCCGGTAATCGGGCGAAGGCAGGGTACACCCTGGACAGGTCGCCAATCCATCGCAGGGCTACAGCTCAATACCCTCAATTAATAATCCCTTTGCCTCTTTTGTTAATGTCTGTTGTCTCATGTAGTATGTTATGTGCTTTGTCTTGTAAATGTGTTATTTTGTGTTGCAATAAAAAAAAAGAAATGCTGATTTAGCTGTATCTCTGTCCTTTTCCCTTTAGGGTGGACTGGTGGAAATTGAAGCCATTGCTGTCCTCGGTCCTCTCACTGACTCTTGACTAGTTGGCTACATCACAAACAAGTTGTAGCCTGACCACCAAGTGACCTTAAAGTTGTACCATGTAAAGCTATACTGCATTTCCAGATGATAAATGAAAGCCCAAACGAGGATCTTGTTGACTTGCTTTCCCCATGTAGTCAGGTTTTAGCATAAACCGTTTCTCCTCTGGTCACTGGCTGGTTGACTCCACTGTGGAAATACTTGAGGTATTATACCAGTGGGTACCTTTAGATTCAAACCCATAAACAGAGTAGAGTAGCTTTAAGATATTAAAGAAATAACATGTATTAGATTTATAAGGTGGCCTTTTTAATTGACAGTTCATAGCTTAAGAGACCTCAGTTTTTCTTTCCAGTGAGAAATAATGACACAAGGAAAACAGAAGTAGTATTTACTCATTTGTGCTCATCAGAAACTCGGCGATTGGAGCCCTCAGCACACCTGCAGAGGAGCAGCTCTTCATATTCATTACAAAGATGGTTATAAAATCAAAGCAGCTATCCAAGCAAACTATAATTTCAGAAATCTAGTATATTTTGGCTTTAGTTTTTTTTTTATTATAATTTGGTAGAAAAATACAGAATGGACTCTAGGTTGAAGATGGGTTCAAGACATCTATTCAGTTAATAAATAGAAATGTTGATGTATAATTGAAGTTACTCTGAAATGAATGCATTCTCTGAAAATAAACACACCCAGTAACAGCTTTATAGCACAGGTTTTGAGCAGAAATTGCAGCCATTCACCATCATGAGAAGAAGAAGAAGGCACAGTGATGATTTAGGAACCCTGACAAAGTGGTTATTGCAGGGGCTGCATCTTGGCAACAAGGCAATGTCTGTCATACACACATACTTTCAGTCACTCATACAAGCAAGGTAAGACTCTTCCAACGAACCCATCTGTCCAGTCATTCATGTTGCACTTCACTCACTGGGAGCTGGAAAAACAACGAGGGACCGAAGTTTAGGATGGCATAGACATTTTTTTTATGTGGCTCATGTGACATTGTGTGGAATTTACAGCGCTGCTTACCTGGCGCCTCAGTCACAGTGGCCTCAGTGTTTTCTGTTTAGAAAGAAAGATACAAACAATAATCACACATAATCACATTTAAAGGGTAAATAATCACCTAAATAATTAAAAACTTTCTTTTCATGTGTTTTTTTTTGTTTTTTTTTTTTAGACTGTTTAGAAAGAAAGATACAAACAATACACATAATCACATTTAAAGGATAAATAATCACCTATCTAATACCATCAGACCAAAATTTTTATGTGTCCAATACTTTGGCTTGTGATCACAGTCCTACAATTCCCATCAGCTTCAGCTGTATTTTGTGTTTTGAGCCACTAGGCAAACAAATTAAACCATCTGCATGGATGAATACTGTCAGAGGTAACAGAGAATATATATTTTTAGTCATTTGGATGAACTGGCCCTTTAAGACCAGATTCACATGTGGATAAGCTGACACGTCCGGTTTGTTAATGTGACACTCGACCCTGAAATGGAGGCATGGTGGCTCAGCAGACCTGATGTTCATCACCTGTGGAAGCTGTGTATGTGTTGACATGCTCCAGTTTCTTTGTGGACTCTGATTGCTCCTTAATGAAGGAGAGTGCTGCCAGCACACGTGCTCACACATTTTGTGTACAAGTCATGCCCACAAGGCTGTGGTCAAGCTTGAACTGAGGATGATGCAGGTTGGAGACCAAAGGAGGTTGAGAGCAAGTGAAGACAACTTCTGACTACATTCCACTGTGGAGGTTTGTTTAATATGCTGGAGAAAAATCTACAAATCAGGGTCAAGTTGTCCTTGTATCAGTCCTATACTGTAACTGCATTACTTTTTGTAGGCTTTGACAAGAGATTTTGCTGCAGAACGAACAAATATGTACTTTAGAAGGGATGATTACCAAAATACACGATTTGCAGCCTTACTGAAGGTTTAACAACAGAGTTGTATAGATGCCACTGGCATTGAGCTGGTTTTGCTTCTTTGTCTTTCTGTAATGGCCTAAATTGCAACGGCAGACACTTTGCATTAGACAGAGAAGAAAATGAAGAGCTGATCTCATGAACCTTTTGGCTGCATGTCATTTGCATCATGATGTTATAAGTGAACCTCTGGGGTAAATGTAATGCTGCACTGTGTCACGCAACTCGTACAGATAATCAAGTGAAGTATGCAGAGGGATTTTCACAAGTGCTCTCAAGCAGTAGCACATTCAGCATTTTTCTAGAGACAACAAAAACTCCATGTGCTTAAAAATTTCATCCAAGTTTTAACACCACACAAAGCCTGACTATACTATGAGTTTAGTGTTGGAGACTGTTGTCCCCTAACAGCAGGGCTGTCTCGGCTAATAAACTGTTAAATGCAAACCATTTTTATGCACCCTCATGCAATTTTTAAAAAGCCTAAAAATTGCTAATATGCAAATCAGGTGCCAGATGGAACAAATCATAAATGACAGCTGCAGGGATACCTAAAACTTTGTTACTGAAGCAAAACTATAATGTCAAATGTTTGGTCTGCAGCTCCTAAGAGTTACAGCCTCAACAAAAAGTAGTTATTGATCAACAGGCTATTCATGCAGTATAACTTACATGTGTACACTCTCAGAAGGAAGAATGCATCATAAATATCTTTGTAGTCTTTTAGTTTTAGCCACAATCAACCAAATCTCCATTTAAAAACTCAAATAATAAAACAATATTAAAAATAATGTAATAATTTCCTGATTTGATCCTTTAATGCTAGCTAAAGAATTATATGTGTGACTTATAAACCAAATCCTGTGGCCAGCCCAGTGTGTTTATTAAAAGTCAAAGTCATATCTCTGTGAGGTGCTCAGCCAACCTGTTTCATGACAAAACATTCACTAGTCACCGTGTGTAGAGATAAAGCATATTGTGATATAATTTACACTGAAACCTATGCACAATTAACGGGTGCTTGGAGCCTTACAAAAGCCTAACTGATAACTGAATTCATTTTGTAAAGAAAAAAATTGGATCATTCACATGTTCAAGAGGAGTACATGAAAACTTTGACAAAACTAAAACATTTTTTGCAGCTATCAGTTTACTAACTAGTTTTTAAATGCATCTTTATGGGAATTAAGCAAGTTGGAATTGAATTGGGGAGGCAACAGTGGTGCGGTTTCCCAACCAGAAGGTTGGAGGTTCGAATCTTGGTGCCTGCAGTCCACATATTGAAGTGTCCTTGGCCAAGACACCAAAGCCCATGATGGCGGCGTGTATGCACACAGCGGCCCTTGGCTTCAAACATAATTTATTTGTACGTGTTACAATGACACTAAAGCTTCTTCTTCTAATTTCCCATCCAGGCCTTATTTTGCTATTTGGCATATCGGGAAAAGAAACTAAAAACACACTGACCTTTTACAATGCACTTCACCCTACCTTGCTCTGGAGCTGCAGGCTCGGGGGAGCTCGCTCCAGTCTCTATGGTGCTGTCTGCTGCTGCTACGTCATGCTCCTCCCCTGCTGGTGGAACTGCAGCCGTGCTATTTGCAGATATGGAAGCTGCAGCAGCTTCATCTACAGGTTTAACATCACCACCCTCAGCAGATGTCTGGTCTGGGATGGTTTCACTGTCTTCAGCAACATTGCCATTCTGGTTTGCCGCCCCTGTCAGAAATATAGTATTGAATGTAAACACAGCATGTGATCCAACCATCCAAGAAGACTGTTTTTAGATAAGCTAAGATTTTAGATAAGCTGCAGATTAAAGTATCTACATTAATTAGCAAAAGAAAGAGATAAAGAGAGCCGAACTACAAAAGAGTAAAGTCTCATACAGTCTGAAGCTTTTTTTTTTTACTTACTTCTTGTTCACAGACATTTTCTGGCCACCATTTAGCATTCTTAAAGTTAAATAGAGTTAAAAGCTTTCTGCCGCAGTCAACCTTGGCAAGAGGGGAAAATATATCATGTAGAGTGCCATTGCCTTCTGTAAGACCTCTATTGGGGCTACAAAAATAATAATAATGATAGACTTATTAAGGTAGCACCTTTTAAAACATTAATAATTGCATGACATTGAAATTATCAAAGCAATAATGAAAGAGTCAACTAATGTCCAATGTCACAAAAATGTAGTGAATGGGAGGTTACTTCATCTGGGTTGGAGCTTTGGAATATTGGAAGGATGGCTGCTTTGATTCATTATAATTCAAAGCCCACAAAGAGGATAATTAACTCCTACGCTCTGCTTAGGAGTGCGAGCAAACGCACATAGTATGCATGCTTCAGCACAGACACCCAGACACTCACGTGCCAGGTGGCGGTCTCCTCTGTCAGTACAATCTTCTGGAGCTCTTGTTCATTGTTCTTTTTTGCTGTTTCATTTTCAAAAGGTCACTCTTGTTAATTCCATCCATCTATTATCTCTACCACTCATCCTGAAGAGGGTTGGGGGTGGGGGGTGGTTTGGACAGGTCAGTCTATCACAGGGCTGACACTTAGAGACAGACAACCACACACACCCACACTCACCCATAGGGGTGATTTAGAGTCGCCAATCAACCTAAGCTGCATGTCTTTGGGTGGGAGGAAGTCGGAGTACCCAGAGAGAACCCACGCAGGCACAAGGAGAACATGCAAACTCCATACCAAAAGGCATCAGATCGGCCGGGGCTCGAATCTGGAACCTTCTTGCTGCGAGGAGACAGCACTAACCACAATGCCACCATGCTGCTACTCTTGCTGAGTCTTAAAGCTAAAATGAGTTAGAGAAGGAATAAAAGAATCCTGATGGAAATGTAGATTAGAAATCAAACCTGGAGGATTTATGTCATTAAGATGATCCAATTAATATTGCATTAAGACAAACGCTCCGTCTGCAGAAAGCTATTTCCCCTCTATTCTGCTGAACTGAAATGAGTCCTTCAACATTCTGCTCATTCCCACTGGCTACCTTTGGCTTTGAAAATGAATGGTTCAGAATTTACCATCTGGAATTCTTGTGATAGGATATGAAGCTAAATTGTGCCAGTGTCTTTCTGCATGTCTAGGTGTATAAACACTGTCCTCTGGTGGTTTATCAAAAAACTTCAGTTCTTTAGAACTTTAGTCCAGACTACTTCAAGTCATCAGAGGATATGCTGAACTGGTTTAAATAATCATAGTCATGATTAAATCAGCCAAATCCACTGCAGTAATACCAAGCTCACACCAATACACACACCAAATCAGACAGTATAACACCTTTAACACCTCAAATTCATAAGTTGCACATGTATTAGGGTAACATGGTGCAATAATATTATACTTGGTTTGTGGGCAGTAATATGCACGTTGCCATTTAATCAGCTGCACAGTGAATGTCAGAAAAGCAAGTGTATCAAACATGAGCATTGAACAGAGACAGTATAACTGGCAAATATGGTGATAAAAACATACTTTCACATATTATGGTCAGCATCACTATCATCGGTCCCCTTGGACTACCATTAACTCAAGCAGGTGTTCAGTAAACACCTGGCCACGGACACTTTACCTCCCCATAGACCATTGTTTCCGACTGCGGTCCACAGTTCACCTCACACGTCTGGTCAGCCTTCTGCACAGCCATCGGTGCTCGCCCCTGTCTTTCCTCAGGTTATCACCCCCAAACGAATGGTCAAGCTGAACAGTTGAACCAGGAGCTGGAAAACGCACTCCGCTGTGTCTCCAATTCCGCACCTGAAGACTGGAGTCTGCTGTTGCCTTGGGTAGAATACGCCCACAACACCCTCACCTGTTCTGCCACCGGTATCTCACCCTTTCA